AAACTACCGCACTTATATCCGGATATAGGTGCACCCCTTGTGTGAAAACTTACATATAAGTGCATGCACCTATAAGCGGGGTAATACGGTACTACATAAAAATTCTCGCCATACGTATAACATCGAGCGCCAAACACCAAGAGATAATAGGGTAATAAAAAATAATATGTTTTCAGAAAAATTGCCAGGGTCATTGTGTGCAACTCTACCGCAATAATAATCACTATTTATTGCTAAAACAATAACTTAACCCATAATCCAACTGTAAAAAATCAGTGCTCCCACCCCTACCCCTACCCCTTCAATAACCTATAAACATATCAGCTAAGCAACTATTAACCAAAAATATTTCAGGTATGTCAATTAAATAAACTTACATACCAAATAAATAATTAATTCTAGTTTTACCGCGCTTTTTAACAATTTCTAAAATACTTTATTATACCCCCTCTCAACAAAAACCTTAAACTCTAAGAAAATTAATTAATACCATGTTTAAGTAAACAAAATAACTACTACCCTTTAAAACTAACTAAACGAATGAAGCAAGCTGACTTACAAATAATACAAACAATCATATTTACCCCGATAGCAGAACTCGATGACAGTGCGGAGCACATCGTACCCTATTTCGCGGATGATAATCACCGGGAACTGATTGGCCGGCAATGAGCTGAACAGGGATTTAAAATATGGCGAAAATGCGCTCAGAATGATTTTGTGGGCCCGTATTGTCTGCGAGTGGTGACCGGTGCTAATGTGGACGTCCGTACAGTACGACTCCGACAGTAGGCCCAGAAGTGAACGGCTCAGGGCTGCCGAATGCGAACTGAACCTCAGGTAATATGACTGTTGACCGTTGGGACCCCCGTCGCCGCCACCGCCCCCTCCGACCCCAGTGGGCGCGCTGTTGGCCGTTAGAGTTGCCATTAGTCAGAGTTTAATTAATTGTTTTTTATGTCTGGTTAACAGTTAACTGTTGACCGATTATAACACATACACACAACAATTGACCACTTTATATGTTAATAAATTGTAAATCACCTATGCACAATAATTTGTCAATTATAATTATAGTTAATTTTGGCGCCCGATTTAGTTGATGGCCATAAACACACTGTTGATGATCTAGTTTAATCACTGCATAGTTGTGGTGAGTTTAATAGGACAACATGTGTTTTTGCAAAAATGTCACCATGATTGAAAAATAACAAAATAATTAAATTGTTTATTTCAAACACCAATTGATTATTAGAGTTGTATTTTTGAACCACAAATAAAAACAAACTATTTCTCTGCGACCACACAGTAGTTGTGGTGATAGTTATTCATAGACAACGTTATATTTATTATTTAAAAAAATTCCCATAGACTTAACACGAGACACAAAAATCAAATTACAAATGACTAATTATGTCAACTCCTATGAATATTTACCATAGCAATAATTAAAATACATATTTTTCACCATAATAAATATGAGAGTTAAAAAACAAAATTTTCTATGTCTGCCTGTTATAACAACTATTATTCACAGCAAACAGACAGTCTATACTCGGTTACTGCTATACATGGTTTGGCAGTACTTTTTAATACTGTATAGCAATACAGGGATAGCCTTCTCTCCCAACAACTCTCTCTCCCCTAATATTTAATATATTGTGTACAATATTTTTTTGTATTTGGAGTGAGAAATAAAGTGGGCTTGACTTTCTATGATGGTTAATTTTGCGGTTATACCCAGCTAATACGTGCCGATTTAGTGATCTACATAGTTTGTTTGCTGTATTGTTGTATTTATTGTGCTAGGCAAGAATATTTGTAGTTTTGTGCTTTGGTAGTATTTGTTATAAGAACTAACTATGAAGTTTAATTTGATATTTTTTTTAGCATGGCGATTTAATTTATTTTGTCTTTATGAATTGAGTTAAGCATATTTTTGACGTAATTTATTTTTAATGAATAATTTGATTTTTGGGCAAAAATTAATGCACTCTATATTTGGCATATGTAGTTAATTCTGATTATTAATTTTTAAATTTTTAATAATTAAAATAAAATTTAAGAATTAAGAATTCATATTTTATTAATTAATTGTCTAATTAATTAACCACAAGTTTTAATTAATTAAATGTTAATAAACTTATCATTTTAAATAACTAAAACGCTGTTTATGTCATTTATATGACATTTCAGTACTTTTATACTTAACATTAATCATAGTATTAATGTATGAAAACTCACAATTGAATCGTACCATAAGTTCGGTATTAAAAAGCAAAAGTTTTAAACAATTTAAACACTAATACAGTATATCATCGATAATGATAACATATAAAATAAATTAAATTACAACTTTATAAAATAGCAAATAAACATGCTAAAAACATTTAAAAACTAGCTTGATAAATAATCCTAGCATAAAATTAACTAACCACATAATTAACAACTAGATTATATAGTGTACACTATAACGGGTGCTATACTGTATGGCTGTAATGAAAACACGTTGGCATTGAATTGCATTGAAATGCAATGCAAAACACATTTCGAGTAAACAAAACGTTTTGCAGACAAAAAACACATTGAAATCAATTGTGAAAACCAAACAAAAAACTGTATTTAAAAATCACTCCAAAAATCAATTGAAATTAATTGTAATTATCGTTAATTATCTCTTGAATAGACATCAATCACGTGGTGGTCGACAACACCGACGGGTCAGCACAGGTGACACATCTCCAGACACACCACTGAAGACATACCACACGTCACACCTCTCAAGACATACCGCAAGACATACCGCAAGACATACCACAAGTCATACCACAAGTCATACCGCAAGACATACCGCAAGACATACCACAAGTCATACCGCAAGACATACCGCGAGACAGACGTGATGTCGACGGAACCGATCGCCGATTACCGCAAACATGTGGCCGATTTGGCCAAACGCGAGCCCAGGGAACTCGTGCTCAACGGACAACAGATTGGCAAACAGGTGGCGGCCGAAGGGGGCCTACTCTCGGACCACGTGTTCGCCATCAAGTCGTTGAACTTCTTGGAGGTGATCCGCTGCGAGCCGTTGATAGCGCTGTCGCCGGCTGTGAGCCGTTTGGACGCTCTGCAGTCGCTGGTCCTTCACAGCAACGGACTCAAGACATTGCCGGGTAATTGACTGCTCTCTCTCTCTCTCTCACTCACCGCAAACACTGACCACTCGTTTACATTACAGACTCAATCGGATCGCTGTCTAAACTCAAATTCATGGACGTGTCTCGCAATCAGATCCAGTCGTTGCCGGACACCATTGGCCAGTTATCGGTCCTCCAGTCGCTGAACGCCGAGCACAACCAACTCGCCGACGTGCCGGACCTGTCGGGCCTCAAGTCTATTCTGGTGGTGAAGCTATCGGGCAATGAGTTGACCCGTTTCCCGGCCTCGCTGTGCCCGGCGGACGGCTCGCTGCAGCACTTGTCCGAAATACACGCCAACAGCAACCAAATCGGCGACATTCCGCACACCATCAGCAAACTGCCGGCCCTCAAGCATCTGGACCTCAGCGGCAATCAGCTCCAGCAGCTGCCCGGCCAACTCGGCGACTGCTCTAAGATCAAAGTGATTGATCTTAAGGTAAACTTTTTTAATTGATTGCATTTGATTTCATTGTCTTATAATTGTCTTTACTATCTCTCACTCCCGAAGAATAATAAGCTAAAGGACCGGCGATTGGTTAAACTCATCGACCAGTGCCACACCAAACAGATCATGGACTACATCCGCGCGCAGTGTCCGCGCACTGTCCCAAAGGCGGCCAAACCTACCGAACCCGAGACCACCACTACTACTGCCGATGCAGACAATGACGACGAGGCGGACGGCGACAGCGGTGGCGGCCGCACCGGTCGAGACCTGTCTCAAGACCGACGGGCGAAGGCCAGAGACGCTCGCCGTCGACGTCGATCCACTTCGCGGTCGCCCCGGAGTTCGGAGAGCGACGATCGGCCGACGCTCGACACCATACATGTGCTCCCCGTGCAGAATGACGAGTGGTTTAAGGCGACGACAACGCCGGCGGTACACGAGTTACGCAAAATTGTTGTCTGTCTGGTGCGGGGCGTGGATCTGAGCCGCGACGGGACGATCAAGAACTTTCTGGCCCTCCAGACCGGTACGTATGCGACCGGAGTTTAGGTTTATATGTGTATATTAACAGCGCTTTTAATCCTATCCACCGCTCACTCACTCACTCTCGATGATCGCACACGTGATGGCCGCACACTATATGGTCACTCACTTCTGATGGTCACCCACTCTATGGTTACATATCTGATGGTGGACTCGATGGTTACACACTCACTGTTACCGCACTCCCGATGACCACATACATGCAATTACCGCACACGTTGGCCACTAACAGGTCTTCACGCGGGTATATGCGGTCAGCGACAACACGCCACGATCGCCACACACGACTTGGCCAAAGTGATGGGCCGACAGATCCACTTCGACGTCCGGCCGCCGACCAAAATCCGATTCCAACCGCTGAACAGAGCCAAAGACATGACGGCTCAGGAGTTGTACAAACAGCTCAACGAAGAGGCCGAGGCCTACAGGAAGGAGAAGAAACGCCAGTCCTATTCCGGTGTTCATAAGTATCTGTTCCTATTGAAGGGCAAACAGCGGTTCCCATGCGTTATGGACGACAAGCAGACGGTCATATCGTTGCCGCCGTTGATCAACTCGGAGACTACTAAGGTTTGTGTTGGTGTGTGTGTGTGTGTGGGGGCAGGTGTTAGTGAGGGAGAGAGAGAGAGAGAGAGACTTATCTATAGTGAACACTGTTTTACGTGTCTATTGTATACAGAAATGTTTACTTGTAATTAATTGTATGTTTTTTTCTCTCTTATTAACCACTGATTAGATAACGGAAGAGACGAAAGACATTCTGCTGGAAGTGACGGGCGAGTCGGTGCCCGTGTGTCGCAAAGTGATGGACGCCCTGTTGCACGGCATGCTTAAGCAGAACCTGAGTGCTGTGGCGCCGGTGGACACGGATAGCAATGGTGGCGGTGCTGTGGAAGTGGTGGCCGTAACCGCCGGTGTGGCCGCACTGGCCATACGGCCGAAGTCGCTATCTGTCGAGCCGGTGAAAGTGGTGGACACTGAGGGCAAACTCTACGTTCAATACCCGTCCAAAACGGACCTACAGTTCGCGGACATTGACGTGAAGAGACCGACTTAGCGCGTGTCGGGCGCTGTGTTTTATCTGTTGATTATTTAATTAAAACCCATTTTTAATCTCATTAATGACTGTTTTAATTACTGATTATTTTTGATTAAAATTGTACCGAAAAAAGTATTAACGTTTGTTTTTTTTAATTTAATCAAAGTTTTTGTATTGTTGTGTTTTTATACCACGATTTGATTTTTTTTGCTAATTTTTAATTATAATTTGTAACTCAATTTGGAAATAGCTTAACACATTAGCAACACTTAAAATACGGCTACTTTTAATTATTATTGATTGCAAACTAATGCCCATATATTGAATGTAAGGCTATAAATATTTTTAAAATGTAAATTACATGATATAACAGTTATATTTTATAATTATTATAAATATTAGACTAATTATAATTGTACTACACTTTTAATTAAGTAATTTAAAATCTATAAAATTGTATCAACAACCTATTTTTATATGTAAATCATTACATACGGGTCCTTAATCTCTCTCTCTCTCTCTCTCTCTCTCTCCTCTCTCTCT